GAGGAAGGGATGATGGAAGGTACGCTGTTCCCATTCAGTGCACTTCTGTTAGAAGTAACAGAAACTCAAACTTGCTAACGTGAAAAAAAAAATATATAGGTAGATGACTTCAGGTATGGCTTGATCCAGGGGCTCAGATAACATCATAAATCTGCCAGTCTCCACTTCCTGCCCTTTGTGTTGGCATCTCCCGGGGTGGGGGCAGCTCTTCCCAGGGTGGCAAAGAAAACAGCAGTGGTCCCAGCTCACATCCAGCCTAGTAGGAAACCCCAGGGAGCAGACAGAACCTTTCTCCTAATGGTCCAGCTCAAATCCCAGGGCAGACTCTCATTGGCCCACTTGGGTTACATGTTTATCCCCAAGCCGATCACCAGAGCCCTGGTTCTTATGGGGTGAGCCTGCAGTGGTAGGACCTCAGATACTGTTCCTCCCACACTCATGCCCAGAGACAGCTGAGTAGCCCCAGAGACCTGGGGTTCTGGGGTGCAGGTGGCAACTGGACCCTCCCCACCCTCTCTACTCAGGAGACCACAGGATCTGCCCATGGGCATCTCTTAAGCAAGAGCCTGGCTGAGTCACATCCAATCAAACGTGTGTCCACTCGACCCCATCCCGCCCTGACCTGTCTCAGGAAGGGAGTCGTGGCTGAAGCCAAGGGTAGGAGGGACCCTGATGACCCCTGGGCTGGGTCCAGTCTCAGGCAAAGGGAAGGAGCAGGGCTGAGACCAAGCAAAGCCTGAGCCTCTGGGGAGTCCCCGCCAGGCTCTGACACAGCAGCTGCTCCTCCACCTGCACCAGGCATTCTGAGCTGTGTGCTGACCCCTGCCTCTGAGGAGTCTGCTGAGTCGGGTCTAGTTATGTCCAGAGGAAGAGGCTGGACTGTACGGGAAACAAGGCTGTGGGGGTGGGGCCGAGAAGGGCGGGGGCGGGCCCGGGGCTTGGCACCTCCCCCTCCTCCACTGCAATCCCCACAAGTGTGAGGATTCCCATGCAGTGCCTGCCGTATGACTCACTGGAGGGCACAGTGCCTGCTGTATACCTTCCATGTAGGGTGCAGTACCTGCTGTATGTCCTTCCTGTAGGGCACGGTGCCTGCTGTATACCTTCCCTACAGGTCACAGTGCCTACTCTATGCACTCTGCACAGCACAGTGCCTGCTGTATACCCTCCATGCAGGGTGCAGAACCTGCTGCATGTGCTTCCTGCAGGGTGAAGTGCCTGCTGTATACCCTCCCTACAGGACATGGTGCCTGCTGTATACTCATCATGCAGGCCAAAGCGCCTACTATATACTCTCCCTACAGGACACAGTGCCTGCTGTCTGTATTCTCTGTAGGGCACAATGCCTACTGTATGCACTCCCTCCAGGGCACAGTGCCTACTGTATGCACTCCCTCCAGGGCACAGTGCCTAAAGTATACCCTCCGTATAGGTCACAGTGCCTGCTGTATGCATTCTCTGTAGGACTCTAGGGGCTGGGGCACATCTGAGGGGTAGGCTCATGCACTCTGCAGAGCCCCTGGCTGAGCCTGGCTGATTTCTATCCCCCCTCCAGGCCCCACCACGAGATGGGTACACAGCAGATGTGTGGGAGAGTGTCCGGACTAGCTCTCCCCACGTCCTTCCTGCTGTCCGCTGTGAACTTTCTCCAATCAGTCCCACAAGTCACCAGCTCCCACCATCGCCGACCACCCATCCCGCATCCATCCTCACCTCACCCACCTCTCTGTGACAGCCGGCACCATTCCCCCTACCCTCTGGGAAGCTCATCCTCCCCAGGCCTCTGAGCTCCCACCCACACTCCCTGACTTCTCCCCGACCCTGGCCTCCGATGCTGCAGGCTCAGCCCTGCTCTGTCGGAACTCGCTATACCTCCTCCACCACTCGGAACACCACCCGTGTGCCGAGGACGCCCATGTCACCCTCTGCAGCGGACTCAGCCCTGGACTCCACACTCGGGTATCCCACCCTCTGCTCAAATGTCCTTGGTGTCTCACAGGTGTCTCACCCTCGGCTTGTCAGAAGTGACCACCAGGGTCCCCTCCACCCACTCCCCCCAGCCTGACCCTCTCAGTAAAGGGGCACCTCCCTTCACCCAGAGGCCACCTCCCGGGCAGATCCATCAGCACCTCTTCCAGCCTCCACTCTTTGTCCCACCCACACCCCCAGGACACCCTTTGGCCTCCTTCCTACTTTCCTGGCCCCCCTCCCGCCCCCAAAGCAGCCAGAGGTGGCTTTTCCAAAATTTGAAGCAACCCGCCCAACTCCCGTCATCACTGGCCCCTCTCTGACCTCATCTCCACCTCCCCAACCCCAAGGCCCCTTGCTCCAGTCACCCAGACCTTCTGACTCTTCCTCTAGCCCACAAAGCTTATTCCAGCCGCAGGGCCTTTGCACTTGCTGTTCCCTTTGCGTGCCCCCCCATCACTTGTGTCTGTCACTTTCTCAGTGAGGCCCTTCACTGATGCCCTCCCCCCATCCGCCTTGGGTCTGGCAGGGGTCTGCCTCCCCCACTGGCTTTGATTGGCTGGTTATTCACAGCTGTACCGGCCCTCTCAGGGGTCAGTAAATGTTGAATGAATGAATGAGTGAATGGCTTCAGATAGTCCTGTAAGGAGAAGCTCTAGGCAGGAGGGCAGACAGAGCTGGACCCAGCACCCCTTCCCTCACCCCTGCCCGCGGTCAGGACTAAGGGGAGGCAAGGTGGGCTTCCTGGAGGAGGAGGCACTCAAGTTGAGCGGGGGAGGAGCCCAGGGGGCAGAGCAGCAGCCTGGCAGGGGTGGTGCCCTCTCCACCCACCTGTCCCTCAATGCCCCATCCCCGCAGCCCGGCCGCCAGGGGGCGCCTTGGGGTAACAGCGAGGGACTGGGGTTCAGGATGGGCGAGCAGAGGGGACGTGCCGCGTCCCTGGGTGGGCGGGAGTGTGCACAGACGCCCGGCTGGGAAAAGGGGGGGGTGGTGAGGAGCCCTAGGGTCACCCTGTCGTCGCCGGTCCGCGCAAATAGCTGAGGTCTGGCTGGGCGGTCTGTAGTGGAGATGGGGAAACTGGGGTCGGAGGCGGGGGGCCACTGCCGGGAGGGAGAGGGCTGTCTGGACCCGGGTCTGGCTCCGAAGCTGCCTCTCGCAGCCCAGGAGCCCGGCAGACAGGGCGGGAGGAGGGGTGGGGCGGGCGCGTCTTCGGGTGACAGCAGCGCCCGGGAATGCGCCGCCTGGGAGGGGGCTCCCCGCCCCCTGCGCCCAGCCCCCGGGCTCTGTTTCTCCCCGGTGCGCTGAGGCCCGCCTCCGGGGCGACTGGAACTGGGGGCGGGCACCCCTGGCATGGGAAGCCAGGCATCCAAGGGTCCCCGTCACTGAGGAGGGCGACCTGGGGCAGGGGTGGGTGGGGGACGGACCAGGGGACCCCAGCTGGGACGCGCTACAGGCGTCGGCAGGCAGCGGGTAGTGTCCGCGACTCCTGGAACCCGGCAGGGCGACCTCGGGGCGCGCACATTCCCAGGCCCTGAGCACTGCTCCCAGAATAGCAGCCCCAGCGGGCTCCCTACACACCCCGCCCCGCCCCGGGCTTCCCAAGGACACCGGGACCCTGACGTCCAGACACCAGGCCGCGGGGCTGGGAAGCCGGGGCGCCCGCCCTGCAGGCAGCCCCCTGCCGCAGATCCCCGACGAGCGTGCGACGGCCGCGCGGGGGCGCACGGGGCCGCAGCTCCTCTGGACCCCGGCCTGGGCGCGCCCCGGGAGGCCCGGTGGGAGGGGCCGCGCCGGGTTCCCCCCGCCCCTCACCTCGGGCCCCGCCGCTTCCGTCCGCCCTGGGGCAGCCAGGGAGTCGGATTGCGCAGCCTCTGGCCGGTAAGTCCCCCTTCCTATCCCTCCACTTTCCCTGCCGGCATCCAGGCCGTGTGATACGCTCCTTCAGTCTCCCCGGGCCCGGCAGGGCTGGGTGTGCGGTGATGAGGGCAGCCATCGCCAGAGAGGGCGCTCAGTCCCATTTCTTCCTGGGGAAACTGAGGCCCAGAGGTGTGGCTTGTCCTAAAATCACCCTGCAAGTGAGGGGTCCAGACAAAACGGGGGTCGGAGGGGAGGGTGTCTTGCTCCTTGGGGAGGGGGGTGTGGGGAGTGGGAAGGTTGCTCCTTCTAGCCCCCCATTTTCCATCACCTAGACCCCCACTTCTGCAACCCAGTGCTGAGAGTCAGGGCGGGGGGTCGTCAGGTGGTCAAGCCCCTTCCCTCCTTTCCGGCTTCTAGCCCTGCCTGCTTCCTGCTTCCTGGTTTTGCTGGGGTTCTGGGCTCTGAGAGGGGTGGAGATGAAGCTGGCCTAGCGTGGTCCTCGGACCAGCCCAGGCCCCGCAGGTCCTCAGCATCTCAGGCCCAGACCCCACAGTGCACTGGAGGTCCAAATGTCAGAGCTGGGAGGGCCAGAAACCAGGGAAGCTGAGGGGCCAGAGGGGCCACGGTGCAGGTGGGCCCCCAGCCTTCTTCCCACTGGTGCCCAGGGGCCTGGAGGGCTGGAGGTCATGAGTGTGTCCTGCCTGTCCTTTTGGTACTGCTGACTGCCAGCCACCTAGCCCTGACCCGTGAAAGGCCTCACAAGGTGGCGGGCTCCCATCCCCCTTTCTCCTGCCAGGCCAAGGTCACACGGAGGTGGGGCTGGGGAGTGATTTCATCCTTCCCTCGAAAGGTGGGGAAACTGAGGCCCTGGGCAGCAAAGTCTGCCACCCTAGCTGTCCCCACTCTCTCCTTTGTTCCACCAGCCTCATCAGCGGTCTCTTTCTTGCAGGCCACCCTGGCACTCCCTCCCGTGTTCTCTGCAGATGAGGCCATGAGGCGCCCACTGGACCAGGTCACCCCTCCTGCCCCATCCCCAATCCTGGAGGCCAGGGTTCTGGGTGGTGGTGGTGGGGCTCTGCCAGGGCCCTGGCCCCTGACCCAGCCCCCACTGACGGCACCCTCTGCAGGGTCTCAGAGAATCATGGATTGAGTCCAGCTGGTCCCCACTGTAACAGATGGGGAAACTGAGGCCTGGGGAAGGGGAGTGGCTGGGCTCCAGCCACACAGGAAGGTAGAAGCAATGATGGTGGGGAGGGTGGGCAGGGGGCGTTGGCTCTAGGAGACCTCTGTGCGCTATTCTTGAATGATCCTTTCAATCATCAAACATTTATTAAGCACCTACTGTGTGCATTCCAAAACAATAACCAAACAATAGTAGTAATTAGTAATAATAGCAGATAATTGTGCCATGCCTTCCTTACCTTATCCCATGAACCCCTCAAAACTTTCCTATAGGGGGGGTTCTATCATTGCCCTGTTTTACAGAGACAAGAAGTAAGGCTCAGAGAGGTAAAGTTACTGTGCAGGGCCACCCAGCCAGTCAGGGTGGGGCTGGGGCTCAATCCCTGGTCCGCCGGTGGCTCCTGCTAGAGACACTCCCCTCTGCTCCCCCAGACCCTTCCCGCTCTGGAGCTTCCTGCTGCTGCTCGGGTCCCTCCTGAGCTGTGGTCTCGGGAGCAGTGCTCAGGTAAGGGGGGCATGAATCCAGGGGCAGGCGGGAATGGGGACCCGACCAGCAGTGTGGGGGTCAACAGCTGGCCCTGCCACTCTCTCCCCAAGTAGGGTCCAGGTGAGTGGACTCTGTGGGGTTCCTGGACCCGCTGTTCCAGCTCATGTGGGCAGGGAGTCTCCGTGCGCAGCCGGCACTGCATCCGGTAAGCGGTGGGTTGGGGCTCCAACCGGGTGGGGTGGGGTGGGGGGTTCCCTGCCTCTCCTCTCCTGTCAGCCCAGCCCAGCCCCTGGCCGCACCCTCGGCCTGCCCACACATGCTGTGCCCTTTAATCCCACTGATCCAGCTGGAATGCGGGTGGGGTTGGAGGGGGCGGAGGGCAGACAGCCACCCCGGGGAGGGGGTCCCTGGGGATCCTGGCCATGCTCCAGCCACCCTTTTCCCACAGGTTTCCTGGCGAGGAGCCTTGCTGGGGGGACAGCCATGAGTACCGCCTCTGCCAGCTGCCGGTAAGCTCTGCCCACCTCCCAGACCCCACACTCTGCCCCCACTGCTTCTCTGATCATGTCCCCAGCTACACCTGCCACTCTGCCAGGCTTCCCCTGGGGCTGGCGTGGGCTGGGGGAAGGGGAATCTGGAGGCCTGTCCCAGCCTCTGACCCACCCATCTCTCCCACCAGGACTGCCCCCCAAGGGCCGTGCCCTTCCGAGACTTACAGTGTGCCCTCTACAATGGCCGTCCCGTCCTGGGCACTCAGAAGACCTACCAATGGGTGCCTTTCCATGGGGGTGAGTAGCCGGGTTGGTCCAAAGGGAATGATTCAGGGCTAGCAAGGAGAGGACTCTGCCAAGGAGGAAGGGGGACTTGGAGGGCTGCATGGAGAAGTGGGCATTACTGCTAGGGTTTTGAAGGATGTGTAGGAGTTGGTCAAGTGAAGGAGGCGTGAAGCAGGGGCAGAGGGAGACAGGGTCCATTCTGCTGTTCTGCACAGAGATGAACACCAGGCTGATGATTTCCTTGGGGCTGTATGCAGAGGACAACAGTTGTCAAACTCATTCCGGTAGCAGAAAATGTTGCTGCATTGAGCTGAAAATAGCAAGTTATATAACTCTGTGCCCGGGGCAATGCACCTCCAGATTCAAGGGAGACAGGCAGCTTCAGACGCCACAGTGGAGGCAGACACAGATAAGGAAAGCCTAGAACAGAGGAAGTTCCATCCGTCAGCCTCACGGAGTTTTTTTTTGCCCTGAGAACTGGGGGAAGCCTGCCATGATCCCATCCCCACAGAGGCCCACCAGGGCAAGCTGGGGCTCAGTTCCAGCCAGGGTCAGCCAGCCAGGCTCAGGGAAGTGGGAGCCAGAGGCAGCTTAGCAGGTGGGGCAGGGATCAGGGCTGTTGACCTGCGGGTGTAATAGGACAGACTTAGATGGCCCATCCAGCCCCACTGCCAGGCAGAAGGGGAAACTGAGGCCCAGAGAGAGCCAGCGACGCACCTAGACTACAGGCACTCAGCACTGGACAAACATTTTTTGTTGGGTGCCTGGGCCCAATTGCTGAGCGAGTACCCCTGAGCCTGGAACAGTGTCTGGAAGATAGTAGGTGCTCAGTGAGTGTTTGTGGAATGAATGAATGAGTAAGTGAATGAACAATGGATAATGATGTTAATGTTATCCATTATAATGTTATCCACGTAAAGACTCCTCCTATTAGGGCATGAATGAATGAATGATTGCAGCCCCATGATACTTGTGAGGGGAGAGTTCCAGGGAGCTGGAGGCAGAATGCCTGCATTCCAGTTCTGGCTCTGCTTCAACCTCGACCTGTAGCTTTGGCTGCCTCTGGGCCCCATCTGCCCAATGGGAGTGCAATTCTGAAGGCCGCCTAAGGGGGCGCTGGGACTCAGATGGTCCTCCTGTCCCCAGCACCCAACCAGTGCGACCTCAACTGCTTGGCCGAGGGCCACGCCTTCTACCACAGCTTTGGCCGCGTCCTGGACGGCACCCCCTGCAGCCCAGGCGTGGAGGGGCTCTGCGTGGCCGGCCGCTGCCTCGTGAGGACTCCCCAGGCCCCACCCCCAGCCTAATTCCCCACACCCCTTCTCAAGTCCACTTTGTCCTGTCCAGGCCCGGCCTCTTCACCTGCCCCCAGCCTTCTCCACACCCGGCCCTTTACTTGAAGGCCCCGTCCCTGAGGTTTTCTTGTTCCTGCCCTTGATCTACTGTAGGTCTCACCCTTTTTCCATGCAAGTCCTAACCTCCAAACCAAAAAACCAAACCCACTGCTTTCAAGTTGATTTCCACTCATAGTGACCCGGTAGGACAGAGCAGAACTGCCCCATGGCGTTTTCAAGGTTGTAATCTTTACAGGAGCAGATTGCCACATCTTTCTCCCACAGAGAGGCTGGTGGGTTCAAACCCCTAACCTTTTGATTACCAGCCAAGGGCGTCACCACTGCACCACCAGGGCTCCGTTCATAGCCTCCAGACCTGTCCTTTTCCCCTCCAGACCTAATTCCTTGGACCTTCAGGTCCCGCCCCCTGCCCCAGGCCCCGCCCCAGGCTCTGCCCCCAAGCCCAATTCTTGTTAATACCCGCCCCTCCCGTAGGCACCACCGCTGCCTCCTCTTTCCAGGCTCCGCCCCAGGCCCCGATCCTTTTACTTTTAGGCCCCATCCCTCCGTAAGCCCTGTCCCCAGGCCTCATTTCTTTTAGCGTCAGACTCCACCCTCTCCCCAGGTCCCGCCCCTCCCGACCCGGGGGACCGTCTGTGACGCAGCGCATGTTCCCTCACCCCTTTAGAGCGCCGGATGTGACGGGCTGCTGGGCTCGGGCACCCGCGAAGACCAATGTGGCCGCTGCGGCGGCGCCAACGACTCGTGCCTCTTCGTGCAGCGCGTGTTCCGCGATGCCGGTGACCACCCGCCCCGTCCTCAGCACGCGCCGGGAGCGGTCCCTTTAACTAACCGCGGGTCCCCGGAAGCGAAGTCCCGCGCTGATTGGGCACTCTGCGCCCCAGCCGCCTTGCTCTTCAACCTGATTGGACAGTGCCAGATTGTCCCGCCCTCCCCAGAAAGGCCCAGGTTTTAACCCGTTCCCTGCCGCACTTAAGCCGCTGGCGTAGTGGTTAAGACTTACGGCTGCTAACCAAAACGTCAGCAGTTCGAATCCACCAGGCGCTCCTTGGAAACTCTATGGGGCAATTCTACTCTATCCTATAGCGTCGCTATGAGTCGGAATCCACTCCACGGCAATGGGTTTGGATTTGTGTTTAATCGTAACTCCAAACGTTTCCCTACCGTTTTCTGGGTACCAGGACCCAGTTAAGCGCCTCACCTGCAATGTCTTATTTAATCCTCAAATCGCCCCTGCGGCGGCTGCTACACACCTCCACCCTCCCACCCAGGTGCCTTCGCCGGGTACTGGAACGTGACCCTGATCCCCGAGGGCGCCAGACACCTCCGCGTCACCCATCGGAGCCGCAACCACCTGGGTAGCGCAGGGTCTGAGAGGGGAGGCCCCGAGATGCGGGTGGTTGTCCCCGTTTACAGCTGGGGAGACTGAGGCCGGAGTAAGGGGCCCCGAGGAAGGGGTGGGGCTGGTTCCCAGGAGCCCGCTGACCCTCCCCTTGCAGCGCTGTTGGGGAGCGACGGGCGCTACGTGCTTAACGGGAACTGGGCGGTCAGCCCATCCGGGACCTACGAGGCGGCGGGGACCCGCGTGGTCTACACCCGCGCCGCCGCCGGGCCGGAGGAGACGCTGCACGCCACGGGGCCCACTTCCCAGGACCTGCTCCTGCAGGTGTGGGGCGTGGTCTCCCAGGGACTGACTGGGGGCGGAGGGTCTGAGCGGGAAGGCTGGGGACGGAGATTTGGAGGAGGGAGGCTGGGGAGAGAGGGTCCGAGGGGGAAGGCTGGGTCTGCAGGCTCGAGTTCGCTCGCCGGTGTGCCTGCCCCTCTCCCAGGTCCTCCTGCAGGAGCCCAACCCCGGTGTCGAGTTCGAGTTCTGGCTCCCTCGGGAGCGCTACGGCCCCTTCCAGGAGCAGACGCAGGCCCTGGGCTGGTCCCTGCGGCAGCCGCAGCCTCGGGAGGTGGAGCCTCAGCCTCCTGAGCCCCCCGCCCCTGCTGCCATCCCCCCACGGACCCCAGCCCCGGCCCCAGGTGAGGGTAAGGTGAGCTCGGCCAGGGTGGGGGCGAGCAGGGAGGTGAGGCCTGCGCCCCTGACCGCCCTGACCCCGCAGACCCCTGTGCGCCCTGCCCCGACACCCGCGGCCGCGCCCACCGGCTGCTCCAGTACTGCAGCAGCGACTTCGGTGAGGCCCCTGACCCCAGCCCTCATCTGACCCCTGAGTGACCGACCTCACCCTTGACCAGAGCCGAGCCCTGGCCTGCTGACCTCTGATCCTGATTAGACCTGACCCCAACTTGATCCTTTGATCTGACCCCTAACCCCTTACTGATCTCTGACCTGAGCTGACCCCAGGCCCCAGCTAACCCAGACCTCTCCCCTAAGGCCCCAGCAACCCCTCAGTCTCCACCCAGCACTTGCCTCCCTTTTCTGCGTAGTGGGGTGTGCCCGTGGGTGTGCGGGGTGGAGTGCTCAGCGGCCTCAGTGCCCGCCTGCCCACAGTCTTCAGGGCCCGTGTGCTTGGCCGCCGCCGTCAAGCCCAGGAGACTCGCTACGAGGTGCGCGTGCAGCAGGTCTACAAAAACCGCTCACCACTGCAGACTCGCGAGTACGTGTGGGCACCGGGCCTCTGTCCCTGCCCACCGCTGACCCCCCATCATGAATACCTGCTGGCCGCCCGGCGCCTGGTCAGCCCCGACGGCACACAGGACCGGCTGCTGCTGCCCCATTCCGGCTACGCCCGACCCTGGAGCCCTGCCGAGGACAGCCGCGTGCGCCTAGCCGCCCGGCACTGCCCTGTCTGAACCGTTGGATGAGACCCCATCACATGCAGCAAGAAAGACATCTGCCCAGACTGGAACTCTACGTATTTCCCCTCTTGTCCTGGCTTCCAGGGAGCTCAGAAATATCTCCAGCTGCAGCTTTGTGACTGCCCTATCACACGCGCACTTAGACCCCCTGGGCGAAGTCAGACCCACTGTCAGGAGCAGGTAGGCACTGGTGAGGACACACTAAGTAGATTCTTTAACTCTTATTTTCTCTATTGCCCTGGCTGCCAGGAAGCTCATTGCTATTTTACACCCAGAAACTCTGTGTCTGTTTTTATTTCCTTTGTCTCATGCTCACTTGGTTAGAGACACTGTCACAAACAAGCATGGCCCAGAAGAAGATATACCTAACACGATATTGTAATACACACACACACACACACACACGTATGTATGTATGTATGTATGTATGTATGTATGTATGCATGCATGCATGCATGCATGCACACCAGTTTCCCTTCTTGCCGTGGCTACCAGGAAGCTCATCCCTGCATTACTCTCTGACACTCTGCTCCCTCTTCTCTCTGCCACTCACAGACACACACCTTCAAGTATTCAAAGACGTTCACAAATGGGCATGGCATGTCCCTTAGAAGACATGCCTAATCAGGCACTGTAACCTACTAATTTCCCTTTTTGCTCTGGCTACCAGGAAGCTCAAGGATAAGCTTGACTCCATCCTCAATGATTCTGGCTGTCTTTCCTCCAGTTAACACTGCTGTTCACCCCTTTTATACTCCTATTTAATTTTTACATGCACTTTTTTTTTTTTTAACAAAGCACCCCAGTGACACAACTTGACTGCAGAGATTTGGGGTATGGAGGCTGGTAGAGTCAGGCCCACAATTGTACCCTTACAGCATGTCCACACATGCTCCCCTCCTTCTCCTGGTCCAGCTCCTCCCTCCCCACTTCATGTCTGACCCCTGTGTGGGGGCAAGGTGGGGAAAACCGGGGCTTTTACAGATCCCTTTGGGGGCCACACATTCATCTCAGCACCACCCAGGGGGCCCTCTCCAGCTAGGGAGGCAGGTGGGGAGGCAGGTGAGAGCAGCCACTGTCTGCCCAGCCGCAAACCCATCACCACGTGTGTCTGGAGGTGTCTGCGGCGGGTCACACAGCTGCTGAGCACAGCTTCCCGTGGGGCCACCGCCCATCTGCCCCTCGCCCTGAATTGAGTGACTTGAGTTGTCATTAGGGACAGTCTTCCCTTCCATACTATCCGCGGTTGTGTCTTTTTCTGGAATGTGGGAGGGGCCAGAGGGGGTGAAGGGCAGGGGAAGCTGGTGGGGGGTGCCAAGGCAGAGGGAGGGTCTTCCTGTGGGAGTCAGCAGGCGGTGCATGATGTGCGGGTCTTGATTGGCCCAGCCCCCGAGCTTGCAAGTGACCTTCAGCCAGGCCTTGCCCGTCTCAGCTTCCCCGCCTGACAGTGATTGCCCTTTATTCTTGCCAACGCCTCCTTCCCTAACCTGGAGCATTCTCTTCCTTCGTTCATGCATTCCAACGAGTATTTATGGAGCTCTTACTGTTTGCGAGGGACCCAGGAGTGCCTGAGACCGCCCATGCCTGGCCCTGCCTTCTACCATCATCAGTAACGTGCTGTGGGGACGGGGTGCTGCGGCGAGTCCCGGTAGCCCCAACTCTCAACCCGCAAAGTGCGAGCCCCGCTCTGGAGAGATGCTTGGCGCCCGCGCGCCCCCTGGTGGACACTCTGTAGCACAACGGGAGAAGAGGGAATTCGACACATCCCTTTGCCGGTACCCCCAAGTGACCTGGACCCGCTTCCCCCACTTAACACCAGCACCGACACCCACAGTCCCTCCTAACGGCACCCACGCTGCTGTTACCATTGCTGCCACCACTGACACCCATTGTTCCCTCCACTTCATTGCTGTTTGGGGATTATGTCAGAGAGAGGGGGGCCGGTCGCTTGGTCCCGAGCCCCGTGGCGCCTGCCGCGCCACCGCCTCCCAGGTTCTGCTGCCCCACGGCTAGCTGGGCCCAGCCGGCAGGGGCAAGGACACCTGCTCAGAAGTGCCCGGAGAGCAGACGAGGGGAGAGGTCATCGACGGGTCCCCCCTGGGCAAGGACCCCCATGCCGTGGTCCTATGCTCGTGATGGGGAAGGAACAGGCAGAGGAGCAGGGGTTAGGAGGTGGGGAGGCGGCTGGACATCCCCACGTGGGCGGCTGTCCCCACTGCCATACTCAGGTGGACAAGATGACCAGGTGTCCCTGAAGCAGTGACTTCCCCGGTGTTCTGGCGCTGGGGCAGGTCATTCGTTAGCACCCCCTCCTCTGTACAGCAGCACTGTGTCCAACAGTGGCCCTGTGACAAGCGGTAATGGACATGACTTTCTTGCTTGGTTCTTTACTTTTAAAGCAAACACTGAACAATTTAACCAGAAATACATTTCCATTTTTAAAGATCCTCAGATTCAGTCAAATATTTCATGTAGGTATTAACTTCGGCACTTAGAAGATAGACAGACCGATAGACAGACAGATAGCTGCCATCAGGGTGACTCCGTCTCATGTACAACAGAACGAAATGCTGCCTGGTCCTGTGTCATTCTCCCACGGCTGACGTGTTCGAGTCCACCGTTGCAGCTTTTGTGCCAATCGGTCTCACAGAGGGTCTCCCTCGCCCTTGTTGACCCTCTACTTCACCCAACACAATGTCCTCCTCCAGTAACTGATCCCTCCTGATGACCTGTCCAAAGCAAGTGAGTTGCTCAATGTTCTGTTGTGATCCAGAGGGTGTTTGTTGGCTGAGTTTTGGAATCCATTGTCAGGCCTTTCTTCCTACTCATCTTAGTCTGAAAGTGCCGCTGAAAACTTGTTCAGCATCACGGCAACACACAAGCCTCCGCTGACAGATGAGTGGCAGCTGTGCATGAGGTGCATTGGCCGGGAATTGAACCCAGGTCTCCCACATGGAAGGGGGGAATTCTACCACAGAGCCACTGGGGAACCTAATTCAATAGGAGTGGTTCCTTACACAAGAGGAGACGAGACGGAGGGACGATAGCCGTGTGAGGATCCACCAACAAGCCAAGGGATGCCTGGGGCCACCAGAAGCTGGAGGAGACCAGGAAGGAGCCTCCCCTAGAGCCTCTGGAGGGAGCGCGGCCCTGCCCACACCTTGATCTCGGACTTCTGCCTCCAGAAGTGAGAGAGGATGAATTTCTGTGATTTTAAGCCACCAGTTTGTATTTCTTTGTCCCAGCAGCCCCAGGAAATAAAACACTTACCCTACACCCCACACTCCCTCCCAAGAGAAATAAGAGCTCTGCCCACCAAAGCCGGGTTCTAGAATGTTCTTAGCAGCCTTAATCACAATAGCCCAAAGCTGGAAACAACCCAAATATCCATCAACAGTGCTGTTGGTTGCTGTTGAGTCGATTCTGGCTCATGGAGAACCCATGTGTGCAGAGCAGAACTGCTCCATAGGGTGTTCAAGGCTGTGACCTTTCTCAAGCATATTGCCAGGCCTTTCTTCCGAGGTGCCTCAGCATGGGTTCAGGTCGCCAACCTTCCAGCTAGTTCGTTGAGCGCGTAACCGTTTGTGCTCTCTCATGAACAGTGGAAAGGGGTGAATACATTGTGGTATACCCATAGGGAGGAATATTATACACCAATGGAAAGACGGGTGTACTGATACGCCAGACACGGTGATGAACCTCCCAGCCACGATGCCGATGGAACGGGCCAGACACAGCAGAGGACAGAACACACTGTGTGTGTGAGGTTCAGGAGCGTGGTGGGAAGTCAGGGGAGGAGTTACCTCTGTGGGTGGGTACTAGCCATGAGTGCTGGTTATACTTTTCTGTATGATTAAATAATTATAATAAATAATAAAGATCGAAGGGTTAAAGATCATTATTTCCACTTGGCAAAATGGGTGTGTTCTCCGCACCTATGCCCTTGGGTGAGCTGGCCCGGTGGGGCCCAGGGCCTGTCTTTGGAGGGGCCGGACTGGATACTTTTTCAATATCCCAGGAGGGTGAGGGTGAAAGGCTGCAGAGCCAGCCTGGAAACCTTCTCCCAGCCATGGGCAGACCAGACGCCTCAAAGCAGCTGTGCTAGCACGAAGCAGAGCCCAAGATCCTATCATAGACTCAGTGCAGACTTCTCAGCAGGGGGCAGGGAGTATTAATTAATTATTAGCCTTCACCCCTCCCCCTACAATGCTCCATCCTCAGGAAAAGCCAAACCCTCCAAGAACCTGCAGGGTTCACCCCACAGACTCCCCTCCCCACAGTCCCCCTCGCTCACCCAGCTCTTCCTCAAACTCTCCAAGCCGGTCCTGCCTCAGGGCCCTTGCACATGCCGTCTCCTCTGCCTGGTCTGCTCTTGAACTAGATATCCCAAGATTCCTGCCCTCACCTTCTCCTTTAAGTCTTCGCTCAAATGTCGCTTCCACTGAGAGGCCTTCCCTGACCTTCCCTCTCTGTCTCAGTCATCAGAAAGACCACAAGTGGATGGCTTTAACAAAGGAAAATTTATTCTCTCACACTCTAGGAGGCTAGAAGTGTGAATTCAGGGCGCCAGCTCCAGAGGAAGGCTTTGTCTCTCTGCCGGCTCTGGGGGAAGGTCCTTGTCATCAATCTTCCCCTGGACTAGGAGCTTCTCAGAATAGGGACCCCGGGTCCAAAGGAAGCGCTATTCTCCTGGCTCTCGTTTCTTGGTGGTATGAGGTCCCCCTGTCTCTCTGCTTGCTTCTCTCTTTTATATCTCAAAAGAGATTGACTTAAAACACAACCTAATCTTGTAGGTTGAGTCTTTCCTCGTTAACATAACTGCCACTAATCCCACCTCATTAACATCATAGAGGTAGGATTTACAACACACAGGAAAATCACATCAGATGACAAAATGGTGGACAATCACACAATGCTGGGAATCACGGCCTAGCCAAGCTGACACACATTTTGGGGGACACAATTCAATCCATAACACTAACCCTGCAGCCCCTGCCTCCAACTCTGCTTCTCTTCCTGGCGACATTTCTCCCCACACCCGAATATGTTAATATTTAACCTGCTGACTGTCACCTCCCCAATTTATTTTATTTTTATTGTTGTTGCCAATATCCACAGCAGAACATACACCAATTCAACAGTTTCTACATGTACGATTCAGTGACATTGATTATATTCTTCAAGCTGTGCAACCTTTCTCTCCCTCCTTTTCCAAGTTGTTCCTCTCCCATTAACATAAACTCACTGCCCCTTAAGGTTCCTATCGAATCTTTCTAGTTGCTGTTGTCAATTTGATCCCATATACACAGTTCTTAAAAGAGCACAATGCTCAAAGCGGACATTCTTTACTAATTAAGCTAAACTATTGTTTGGTTTTAAGACTTCAGGGATTGTCTTAGTCACTCAGTGCTGCTATAACCGAAATACCACAAGTGGATGGTTTTAACAAAGAGAAGTTTATTTCCTCACAGTCAAAGTAGGCTAAAAGTCCAAATTCAGGGCGTCAGCTCCAGGGGAAGGCTTTTTCTCTCTGTCGGCCTTCTTCTCTTCCGTGTTCCCCTGGACTAGGAGCTTCTCGGCGCAGGGACCCAGTCCAAAGGATGTGCTCTGCTCCCGGCACTGCTTTCTTGATGGTATGAGGTCCCCCTGTCTCACTGCTCACTTCTGTCTTTTATATCTCAAGACATTGCGTCAGGACACAATCCAGTCTTGTAGATCAGGTCCTGCCTTACTAACACAACTGCCACCCAACCTCCCTCATTAACATCATAGAGGCAGGTTTACAACATGCAGGAAAA